CTTAACAAGTGGGAGGCACATATGCAAACTGTTGTAATTCCTACACCGTTCACCTGATTTGGATGTAAATACCCTCAAATTAAAGCTGACAGTCTGCAGTTAAAGCACATCTTGTTCGTTTTATTTCAAATCCATTGTGGTGGTGTATAGAGCCAAAAATGTTAGAATTGTGTCGATGTCCCAATTTTTATGGACCTGACTGTATAATTAGCTCTGATAGCCGAGGACATGTGGAGCGTGGTCAGAGCATGGCCTGTCCTGGCGCTGCGCGCATGTGCACTTGCAGCTGGGTATTGAATAATTACTGGAGTGGAGGAGGAGGGCAGGGGCATTCAGCTAAGGTGCGATATGTAATTGTTTTATTGCTCAAAAACTATCATCCACTTAGAAGATACAATGGGTATAGAAAAGAATCACCCCCTTTAAAATAATCACATTTTGTTGCTTTGCAGCCTGAAATGAAGACAGACACAGTTTTTGTTTTATCCAGCTGTATTGCAACTTATAACATCCAAGTAAAAGATATAACACCAACATGTCAGAAAAAAAAAATAAATAAATAAAAAAACAGAATCACTGAGTTGAAAAAAGGATCACCCTCTCCTAAAAATGACTTGTAAACTCAATCAGGTATAGCTAATCACCTTCTTAATGGCACACAAAGCCATTTGACTTTCAACTGTTTTCAGTTGTGGTCATTTTGATTAGCTCAGCATGAAAAGAGCTTTCCTGGAGAATTTCAGTCCCTGATAGTGCAACTGAAGCAAACAGTCTACTATGGGTGGCAAGGCACTGTCAAAAGATCTCCAGGATAAAGTTGTGGACAGGCACAATTTTAAGGCTTTATCTATGCCTAGAAGCACAGTGAAGTCTATTATTAGGAAGTGGAAGATATTTGGTACAACACAGACCCTCCCTGGATCAGGATATTGTTCCAGACTGGGTGAAAGATCCAGGAGGAAACTGGTCAGAGAGGATACCAAGAGGCTTACAGCAACTCTGAAGCAGTTGCAGGAATTGATGACAAAGAGTGGTCATTGTGTGCATGTGACAACAATATCACAAATTCTCCACAAATGTGGCTTGTATGGGAGGGTTGCAAGAAAAAAGCCGCTCCTTAAGAAAGGCCACATGCAGTCATGACTGAGCTTTACCTTGAAGATTCTGAGTCCGCATGGAAAAAGGTGTTATGGTCAGATGAGACTAAAATTGAATGATTTGGTCTCAACACTAAACTATATATCTGGCGGAAATCCAATACAGCTCACCATCCAAATAACATAATTGCTACAGTAAAGCATGGAGGTGGTAGTATCTTGTGATGGGGGTTTTTCTGAAGCAGGGACTAGAGTACTTGTCAGGATAGAAGGAAAAATGTATGGGGCAAAATACCATCAAATTCTTGAGGAAAATCTGCTGCCCTCTGCAAGAAAGTCGTCAATAGGAAGAACGTTTACATGACAATGACCCAAAGCACACAGTGGTTGAAGGAGAAAAAGGTGAATGTCCTTGCAAGGCCTAGTCAGAGCCCAGACTTAAATCCCAATGAAAATCTGTGGAATGACTTGAAGACTGCAGTCCACAAATGGTCATCATTAAATTTAACTGAACCTGATCAGTTCTGCAAAGAAGAGCGGGCATATATTGCAAAGTCTAGATGTGCAAAGTTAGCAGAGACATATCCCAACAGACTAAAGGCTGGAATTAAAGCAAAAGATGGTTCAACAAAGTACTGACACATGGGGGTGATCCTTTTCCCATCTCAGTGATTCTGTTTTTTAATTTTTTATTATTTTTTTCTGACATGCTGGTGTTATATATTTCACTTGGATGCACTGAGTAAATACAGCTGGATAAAACAAAAACTGCGTCTATCTTCATTTCAGGCTGCAAAGCAACAAAATGTGATTATTTGAAAGGGGGTGATTCTTTTTTATACTCACTGTATGTGCTAACTATTTTTGCCGACTAGGAGAGTCTGACAGCTGCTGTGGCTGGATGGGACTGGGCAGGGCATTCAGCGATACTTCTATTTAGGGCAGTATGCGCACAAGGACGAATGCCTGGAATACAAACTGCTTGCAATCAGGGCATTGGCCACTGGGCTCATACTGTACTAAACTTCCAGCAACAGCAGCTCAGAGTTTTACAGGCTGCTGGCAGCAGGATAGGATAGTGTGCCAGTGCCCTCCACACACAGCTATACAGTACACTGGAGCCTCATGCACTGGGGCGAAACAGAGAATTTTTAATGGTAAAATTGATCCTCCTGACATTAGTAAGGATTTGGGAAATAGATACCGTATTTTTCTCTCCATAAGATGCATCTGACCATAAGACACACCTAGGTTTTAGAGGACAAGAAAAAAAATATTAGGAACCAAGACTACATACAGTTGTGACCAAAATTATTCAACCCCCAATAGTAAGGGGTTTAGGGACTATAGTGTACATTTGGAATTGTATTCAGAATCAAATCCTACAAGGACGTTGTAACTACCCAATGCAACTAAAATGACATCAATTGTTTATGTAATACAGTAGTAAATGGTTCTTATGTGGTTTTCTTCATTGCCACAATTATTCAACCCCTTAAAGACTACCACTCTGAAGAACAGAGGTTCATACAGGGCTTTCCATCAGGTATTGAAAACACCTGTGGATGTCACCGAGCAGCAATCAGCATAATAAGCACAATTAGGCAGCTTTAAAATGACTGTGATACTCAGCTCCTTCTAGACATTTACTGGTGTGGTTACAAACAGTGAAGGCAAGAGAATGGTCCAGGAAGACAAGAGCAAAGAGTGATTTCTCTTCACAGGAAGGGCATGGCTACAGACTATAAGAAGATTGCAAAGATGTTAAACATACCAGAGACACCTTAGGAAGCATATTCGCAAATTCAAGGCAAAGGGCACTGTTGAAACGCTACCTGGTCATGACTTCGACTGCTGTGCGCTACCTGAAGCAGTGGAGAGAAGTCCCCGTGTGACTGCAACTGAGAAAAGATTTGTCAGATGTGGGTACAGAAGTTTCAGCCCAGACAATAAGACGCACACTGCAGGCCTCCCGTGCCAGAACTCCCAGGCGTACCCCCTTGCTGTCTCCAAAGAATAAGAAGAGACTGATGCCAAAAGCCATGTGGACAAACCACAAAAGTTTGTGGATAGTGTTCTGTGGACTGATGAAACAAAATTAGAAGTGGGCCCATGGATCAACGCTATGTTTGGAGGAGGAAGAACAGGCCTATGATGAAAAGAACACCTTGCCTACTGTGAACATGGTGGAGGGTCAATCATGCTTTGGGCTGTTTTGCTTCTGCAGGTACAGGGAAGCTTCAGCGTGTGCAAGGTACCATGAATTCTCTTTCAGACCAGGAGATATTGGATGGAAACGTGATGCAGTCCGTCACACACCTGATAGTTGGACCTTTCAACAGGACAATGATCCCAAGCATACCTCCAAGTCTAGAGATGGTTGCAGAGGAAAGGCTGGAACATTTTGGAGTGGCCATCGCAGACACAGACTTAAATCCGATTGAGATGGTGGGGACTTAAAGAAAGCAGTTGCAGTGCGCAAGCCTAAGAATGTGACTGAACTGGAGGCCTTTGCCCATGAAGAATGGGCGAAGATACCCGTAGATCGCTGCAAGACTTTGTGTCAAGCTATGCTTCACGTTTAAAAAGCTGTTATAACTAAAAGGATGCTGTACTAAGTACTAAGATTGAATGTCACTTGGGGGTTGAATAAAACTGATAATGCTGTGAGCACAGAAAAGACATTTGTGGTTATTTCATTATAACTGTTATGTTATATTTGTCTGACCTACAAGTGCCTCTTTAATGTAAATGTAAGCAAGATGACTGAATGATCAAAGCAATGTCAAACTGGCCAAAACACTCAATTTCAGTGGGGGTTGAATAATTTTGGTCACAACTGTAGTACAGGAGATGACCAGAGACTACAGACATAGTACAGGGAGATAACCAGAGACTGCGGACACAGTACAGGAGATGACCAGAGACTACAGACACAGTACAGGAGATGACCAGAGACTACAGACATAGTACAGGAGATGACCAGAGACTGCAGACATAGTACAGGAGATGACCAGAGACTGCAGACATAGTACAGGAGATGATCAGAGACTACGACACAGTACAGGAGATGACCAGAGACTGCAGACATAGTACAGGAGATGACCAGAGACTACAGACACAGTACAGGAGATGACCAGAGACTGCAGACATAGTACAGGAGATGATCAGAGACTCCGGACACAGTACAGGAGATGACCAGAGACTGCAGACATAGTACAGGAGATGATCAGAGACTCCGGACACAGTACAGGAGATGATGACCAGAGACTACAGACATAGTACAGGAGATGACCAGAGACTACAGACTGTCAGGGAACGAGCGCACGCATCTGCGCATGCGTAGGCAGGCGGGCACTAGGACCCAGGCGCGCCTGTCCCCAATGACGGCTCCGGGCAGGCACAAGGACCTATTTAAACTGGCCATTGCAATGTCCAAGTTGCTGTATGGTCTTTATCTCTGCTTGTGTCCTGATCCTGTGTGTGTACCTTTGTTGCCGAACCCAGCCTGCTCCTGATTACTGCTGACCGTCTCCTGCCCTGACCCCTGGCTTGCCTCTGGACCACTCTTATGCCTGCTCCTGAACGTCTGACCTCCTGTTGCTGAACTTGGCCTGTGACCCAACTATCCTTTGTCTGCTGCTCTGATTCCGTTCTGCCTCCACAGTTACCGACCCGGCCTGTCTGACTCCGCTACTTGCTTCACGGTGTGTCCGCATCCATCCATCCTGCACGTATCTATCCGTTTACCGCTCAGGTCTTCCCTGCCTCTTCACGTCAGGCTCTTACCCAGCTACGTTCCACTAGCTGTCCTCTATACTACAGTTTGGGTGTACATGGGGGCCGCGACCTGGTCTCAGCCTGCTCCAAGTCCATCCCCACCATCAGGGGCTCTGGTGAACAAGCAGACTAGGGCTTAGACTCCATGCCCTGGGGAATCCCAGACTGTGGATCCATAGAGCTACTGTTAGATCGTGACACGGACATAGTACAGGAGATGACCAGAGACTGCAGAATTAGTACAGGAGATGACCAGAGACTGCGGACATAGTACAGGAGATGACCAGAGACTGCGGACATAGTACAGGAGATGACCAGAGACTGCGGACATAGTACAGGAGATGACCAGAGGCTACAGGCATAGTACAGGAGATGACCAGAGACTATAGACATAGTACAGGAGATGACCAGAGACTACGGACATAGTACAGGAGATGACCAGAGACTGCGGACATAGTACAGGAGATGACCAGAGATGCGGACATAGTACAGGAGATGTCCAGAGTCTGTGGACATAGTACAGGAGATGACCAGAGACTGCGGACATAGTACAGGAGATGACCAGAGACTGCAGACATAGTACATGAAATGACCAGAGACTGCGGACACAGTACAGGAGATGACCAGAGACTGCGGACACAGTACATGAGATGACCAGAGACTGCGGACACAGTACAGGAGATGACCAGAGACTGCGGACTCAGTACAGGAGATGACCAGAGACTGCGGACACAGTACAGGGGATGATCAGAGACTACAGACACAGTACAGGAGATGACCAGAGACTGCAGACATAGTACAGGAGATGACCAGAGACTGCGGACACAGTACAGGAGATGACCAGAGACTGCGGACTCAGTACAGGAGATGACCAGAGACTGCGGACACAGTACAGGAGATGACCAGAGACTGCGGACATAGTACAGGAGATGACCAGAGACTGCGGACACAGTACTGATGACCAGAGACTGCGGACATAGTACAGGAGATGACCAGAGACTACAGACACAGTACAGGAGATGACCAGAGACTACAGATAGTACAGGAGATGAACAGAGTTCTTTTAGCAATGCACAGATGTACAGTTTGTGTATAACAGTCCATAGGCAGTCTGTGGGGGGAAGGACATACCTGACCAGCTGTGCTCAGCATCCTCTCTGAGGTCCGGGGTCGGGGCTTCCACTCACATTACAACTTCTACTACAGCAGCTCCCTCTTGATCATACTGGCTGGCTGGCTGGCCTGGTATTCTAACACGGCGGCCACCACACAACTTCTGGCCAAAGGCATTGAATAAATTTTACTGTTTTGATATTTTACATGATGGCTGCCTGTTCTCTTTGATTTACATATTGTGACAGGAGAGTTCAGAGTGGCAATGATTGAAGAGGACCCCAATTGCTTATAGCCTGTTCCCCTTGCAGTGGGGTAAGATGCATGGACTGTATGGTGGTGGTTCTCACAAGATTGGTGGTCAGTGGATTGGGAACAAGGGAACACTGTGTGGCACGTTTTAAAGTCATGTATAACATCACATTATGTGCAATTCAATTTCTAGGAGGGAAAGGTTGTCCATGAGGAAGAAAATTGGAGGAAACATTCACGTTTGGAAATTTACTTTGAGTGAGCAAGTTTCACTTAGAGGGTCAGAGTAGGATTTATGGATACAAGACGTGGATTGACACTTCGTGGAGTTTTTGGTTATGAGCACTTTAATGTGAGTGGTTTGTAGTATAAATTTCACTGTGTAGCAAAGATAATGCACTATGTGCGGTTTATATATTCTCTTTGAGGAGTAAAGAACAGAGGTTACCGTTTTCAAGATTTATCGATTGAGAATACACAAGTCATGGAAGATTAAGAAGTCACGTGGGGGCACTTATTGAGGATTTTCAGCCAATTGGATGCTAAGAAATATATATTATTTGTTGGACTTCCTGGGGGGGATGGGACATCTTGGATTTTTCTATGGTTTCTTGCACGGGCCCTGAAGGTTCTGGTTATGCTTCTGGTGAATGTTCTCTGAAGGATTCCTGAGCAAATGACCTCCTGTGTTCACTAAGCAGTAGGGTAGCTCATCGGCACAGGATCTGGAAGCCAGTAGCCATCTCTATTGTAGCAGTGCCTACTACAATAATTTCCAGCTTCCATGGGGATCGACCAGGTATGACACGTACTTACACTGGTCCACGTTGGACCAATGTAACTATGCAAAAATAGCCATACCTGGAGCTCATCTGCAAATTAATGAGAAAATGCTGCCTGATAAACTATTGTAGAAGTAGCATTTCCTTTCGAGGAGACTGGTGTTCTTCCTTTATCAGAGGATAGGTAAGTAAGCAAAATTCTCCAGGTGGGTGGGGGTAAACTTGCATAGAGATTGGCTTTAAGCTACTTCAACCAGGGGCGGACTGACAACTCATGGGGCCCCCGGGCAACAGGGGATCATGGGGCCCCTGTGTCCTTGCCCAAACTCAAAAAAGCCTATGAAAAAGGTACCAGGGGCATCTCATGGGGCCCCCCACTGACCCCGGGCCCTCAGGCACTGCCCGAGTTTCCAAATGGTCAGTCCGCCCCTGACTTCAACAGTAAAATTTCAGAGCTTCCAGTGTTTCCAACCTGCCATTACTATTAGGAGAGAAGGCTTGTTCTCCATGTTGAGTCATTTATTCTAATTCTAAATACAGCAAAAACAATAAGACTTCACTGCAGATAGAACAAAAGTCACAGACAATATCTGGAGGTCCTGAGATATTTATTATCATCACTTATATCTGAAATATCAGCTCTGGCTGATTCAAGCCTTTTTTTAACGAAAACTGGTGTCTTCTGGCCATTAAAATATTATATATAAAGGAAAGAAATAATAGACAGCATCAACATTATTTAGATTTCCAGATTGAAAAGTCTTTTTCCTCGTGATGGATTTGACTTAATAAGGGGTAAACTTACCCTTAATTTGGATTTCATGCACTGCCTCCCTGGCAGGGTATAACCATCACATGTTCTTGCCTGATAATGTACCTTTACATCACATGAATATCATCTGTAATTTCCTTAATTAAGTTTTTCTGCAGTAAAGAAAAAACTGTAAATTCCTGGGTTACTATATGTTCAGTATTACAAAATATTCTTCACCAAACACTAATTAGGAATTCTAAAAAATGGTTTATGCAAGCAGTTATTGCTGGTATCGCTTACCTGTGCAACCAATTACAGTATGTTATCTTTGCAAGCTGCACAAATTCTTCCAAAGAATAAGATCCTGATTTCTCAGCATTTCTGTTTTTTTTGTAACCATATTAATTGCACATATATTAAAGCACTTGTTAGTGGCTAATGGTGCACAGCAGCAGGCTAAAGAGCACATCAGTTGGCCAATATAGAACACCAGGTATTTATGGAGGTTGAGCAAAGTAGCACATAGGCCCGGATAAACTCAATGATGGGGACCACAGCAGCACAAATAAGACTATGTCTGAGGCACTACAATAATTTCTTCAAAATTCTGAGCCAAGGGTTTATTGCCCTTGGCAACTAGGCAACCAGCAGAGTAAGTAATTTTTACAAAAGCTGATATGTATAGGCAACATGTAGGCATTTCTTAAAACATTTTGAGAGGAAGAAGAACAGTAGCCTCAAGATAAATTAGTCTGCCCGATTGCTTTTTGTCAGGGGACCCACAAAAGGCAAATTGTGACTTCTGAGGGTCTATGATTGCCTAAAACTCATGGTTCTAACCTGTCTGGGGGTGACAATGGCTGCCAGAGCACAGCAGGTGCACCACATGAGCTGCTGGTCAGAGCAGCTGTCATGGTCACAAATGTACAATTTGATCTATTTGGCTACTAAGTGGCTGCAGAGACCTTGATGGGACCCCCAATAGTGGAGGGGGTCATAATGGACCAGTATCTTTTGTCTCTGCTGATCGACCTGCAAGGATTCAGGGCAACCTGAATCTTTGGTGTACCAGAGGAGGGATGTCTTTTGATGCTCGAGGTGTCGTTATTGGGGACATGCTAGTGCACAATGCCCATTGGAAATGTGGTGCTGTCCCCAGGCTTTCTCTCTTTGCACAGGAAGCCTGTAGTGCACACAGTATTTTGAGTGATGGGACATTTGAATACACTGTGATAATCAACCAGGTCCTGTTCACCACTCTCCTGGACTAAGGGAGTATAGTGACCCTGGTACAAGGCACCCTGGCTGGTGAGGTTATGCCTGTTGTCAAGGCATTTCAAGTTGTCTGCATCCATGGAGACACAAGGACCTACTTAGTAGTTTCGCATCAATTACTACTATTTGTGAAACTGCTGAACACAAGGTTGGAATAGTAAGAAATCTGGTACACACTGTGATAGTGGGACATGACTTCCCTAGGAACCGTTGGAAACTGTAGGAAAATAGAAGATGGGTAGAACAATCCTTCAATGTTCAGATGACGCTGTTAGAGATATGCCAAATGATGAGTGATATTTATAAATAGTGAAGATTCTGCTCACCTGGCCCAAAGTGAGAAGGTTTCTAGTTCTGGGAAGCATAGTCCAGAAAACAGCTGTTTGAAGAAGTTGGGGGGGGGACTACCCATTACAGACCATACTTGAGGAGAATGCTGAAGAGACCACTTCTAGCACTGCCTTTCCTAACCAAGTGTCCAAGGGAGCATTTGGAGTGGCTCAGACCTTACTGTGGCCCAGGCAAGAAAACAGATTGTGGTTTTAAATAGTGTTCTCCAGGAGCCATATGGCCTCATTTTGTGGTCACCACAGTTTGAGAAAGCATTGTTGAGCAATTGTTGGTTCCCCAGCCATACAGAAAAAAGTTCCTCGAGTTGGCACACAATGATGTTTTAAGGGGACACTTGGGGACTGAGAAAACAAAGGCACATATCACTGACTAGTTCTACTGGCCAGGGTTGAAATCTAAAGTAAATACATACTATACAACTTGTCTCACGTGCCAGTAACTTGCCCTGGTATTACACTTCTGCAGCACCTTGGTAACCCTGCCTATAAAGTTCTGTTTTAGCAGATAGTAATGGATTTGGTAAAATACATATTTCTTATCCTTGATTATGCTACACAGCACCCTGAAGCTATTCCTTTTAGGAATACCTTGTCAAAAATGATTGCCAGAGAACTATTCCAAGTGTTTACTAGAATGAACTTGTAGCACTAACCCCTTAGGTGTTGCTGAGTATTTGATCCCCTTATAGTCCCTCACGCAGCCAGGCACACGCATTTTCACATAGACTTGCATCCAGGATTCTGCAACCGGTCCTTGTGCTTTGTTTTGGTTATTTTATTAGGGGATTGTGACTTGGATAGGGTGAGGGGTGTATGGGATGCCCAACAGAACTGTAACTGAGGACAATCTTCCTGAACTATGTGCAAGTCTTTACACAAAAATCCACTTCTTGGAGAGCTAGCCAGGTTCTCCTGTTGTACCACCCCAGACCCCAGATTCTCCTAATCCAGCTGTTCTCGGTGAATCCCTGAGAAGGGGATCCAGTGACTGTCACTTTAAAAGAAGGCCATCCCAGCTAGTTGCTAATCTGGTTTCCTGCCAGAGTGCTCCTTCCCCTACCTGGCCCAGGGGGTGCAGGTCTACTCACTCAGTCCTTCTTCTGTGCTGCTGGTGCGTCAGTGGCTGCTACCAGGCCTTTTAGCTGGGCCACTCCTTCCCTGCCTAACAGGTGGTCCCTCTCTCAGGGGACTGGTGAAGTCCCAAGCTTTCCTCCTTCCAAGGTCCTCTGCCTGTAGGTGAGCCTCTCCCCATCTGGGCCCCCTACAGGCTCCTGCCTTCCAGCTTCACATCCTCCTCTTCCAACTGAACTCTCCCACTCTCCTGCTTGCTGAGCAGGCTCGTTTACTCTTAAAGACTGTCCTGGCTCCTTGCCAAGCCTCCTGTTGGGGATTGGCCAGGATCCTCTAAGAGTACAGCCCAGCCACTCCTCAGATCTGTCCACAGCTTCCAGATTTTTGTCTAAAGTCCTAGAGCAAGGGGAAATTCCAGAGAGCTAATCTGCAGAGCCTCTCAACTCTGATCACCATTTGACCCCTGCTAGCTATCACATCCAGGCTGCTACACAGCCCTCCTTGCTAACAATTGGAGTCTACTTCCCCCT